CCTTCCGGTTTCTGGATCCACAGGTGAACCGACTAATCTGGAATCGAGCCGGGTAGAACCACAAGGGTGGCAAAGCTCTCCCTCAAGAGTTTTAACACTGCTGCATTCCCAGGACTCTCCTTTGATGTTCTTTATCGCGACATACCCAATTTCAACAACCAATGCAATGACATCAAATAAGTAATTAAACAACTAATTTAAATCGGAATATACGAAAACAATAAATGAAAATTAATATAAGATTTGAATTGTCTCACATACCAAAGAGGATGGACTCGTCGACATTCTCGGGATCATGATATAAACTTGTGGATGGTGGACCTATATAAGCCAATGTTGCTATGAACTTGATAGTTTCGAATGGTATAAACTTGGCCTTCTTGAAGAAAATTAACGGAATGAATCATCACATTTATGCGCCCACCCTACAAAATTATGGCTTAATGGCGGGAAAATACACGACATTTACTTTATTGGTCATTTAATCACGACCTTTAAACCTTGACAAGTAAATACTTGACATTTACATTCTTGGCAACCCGACATGCTTTTAACAGCCGTTAAAAGAAATCTGACATGTCAAATAAAATTGACGGGCACACCACACGTGTATCTGAGTCAACGACCCGGTAGCAAACCGTGCACACGTGGCAGAATTGCAAAAATATTGCAAGAAGGGGAATCGAACTTGGTACCCCTAGTATATAAAGTGTGCTTATGAGTCACTTGATCCAACAAAACTTGTATTAAATATTCGACTTAATTTATATATATATATATATATATATATATATACCAACATCATTTTATTTATATTATATAAAATTTATACAACTGTTAATTATAATACTTATAAATAATTTATTTATTAAATATATACTAATTATGAAATAAAAATAAGTAAAATAAATAAATAAATAAATAATATTACATTATTTTTAATCAAACTTTTATTATCATTAATGTTATTTTATATTAATTCACCGAATTTAATTTTAATCATTTTTTATATATTAAATATATATTTACTAAAATAAATATATTAAATATATATCATATAAATAAATATATTAAATAATACCATATTATTTATTTATAAAAATAATAAATAATAAAATAAATATGAAATATAGTAAATAAATATATAATACAATAAATTAATATTAAATAAAGCATATAATTAAAAAACAAATAATATATAATAATTTTTATTTATTTAGTTTTAGTTCGTAATTTAACATGTTAAATAAAACTGAACTGATTTAACTGAATTTATCCAAATAATAAAAATAAATTATTGTTTTTATTATAAAAATAATTATTTATTTCAAATTTTTATTTATTATTTTATATTATTGTAATATTTTTATATTAGTTTTATTTAATGTATTTGATTAGTTATTTAATATATGTGATAAAAAACATATAGCATAATATTAATGCATGTATAAAACTTTTAAAGACTATAAATCCCTAAGACTTAAATTGTAATATATTAAAAATTTTAAATTTGCAATAAAGTTGTATATAACTTTTAAAAACTACAAATTGACCCCAAGACTTAAATTGTAATTGATTAAAAGTTTTAAATTTGCAATCAAGTCCCCGTAGATTTAATTTTTAGTTTAAAGTCCCTATATCCAATCCAAAATCCAAGGTCCATTGCCAATCCATTATGTTTCGTTTCGCTGGTCCACTTAACGGAGAGACGGCGGCGAAGGAAGCGACGACCTTTTCGGTCGGAGGCGGCGGTGAATTTTCAGGCGCACTGAGCTTGGCAACAGTTCCTGTCTGCAATGGACGTCGGACCCTCCTCAACCAGGCGACCCTTTCTACGAAGGAGGTGATGTCGCCGACCACGTTTTGCCGCGTCTGGTGGGCAAAAGCTCTCCAAAGGTGGCACTGCACGACTGCGACGGTGGCTGTTATGCGTCGGAGAGCTCGTGGAGAAGATGGCCGACGCGACATCGAAGGCGGTGGCGGTCGATCTGGATGACTGCGACGAAGACCGATGGCAAGTTATGAGATAAAAGGCGACCGAACGTGCGATGACCGGCGGAAGTTGCCGGCGGGACATCAGAGACGACAATTGTTGGTCTGAATGACTGTTGTTGCGATCGGCGACGGAGTATGCCATGGCCGGCGGCTGGATATGGATGGCCAACGAGGAATGTTTTTGCAGCATGTGTAGTGTGTGTGTGTGTGTCGTTTATTTACAATGTGTGTATGTGTGTTTGTATGTGTGTGTCGTGTGTGTGGATGACGCGTGTGTGCGTGTGTAGCATGTGTGTGTGCGTGTGTGGTGTGTGTGTATGGCGTGTGTTATGTGTGGATGGGTGATGCTGTGGCGTGGGACCCACTGGGGAGTGAGTTGGTTGGAAGGTAATGATAATGATTAAGTATAAGATTTTGACTTTTTTTTATCTGTTAGATCATCCGATCCAATGACCACGATTTATTCCTATTTTTTTTACTAAGATCATTTCTCACTTGAACTCAACCATATATATATATATACTAGAAATCTACCGGCTGTGCTTAGCACAGCCGGCCCATATACTTTAATTGTTTTTTATTGTAAAGAGTTACTATTTGTTTTGTGTAATTGCTTTATATTTGATTTTGTTAATAAGTTTTTTGTTGTAGTGTTTAATGATATTTTGTTTGTAATCTGACCAAACGCATAATGGTAATGCTCTGTAGAACGAATTATTTTGCATTATGTTGTTCGTTGTATATGATTTTAATTCTTATATACAAATTTAGAAGTTATGAATATCTTTTTCTTGCACTACAGAGACTGCCGTCGGGTCTTGTGCATGAATACATGCTCCATGTACCTCTTGTATGTACATTAAGTAAAAGAGATGGGCATAAGTATGAGGTGACAATAAGAGGTAATGATTATGGGGTAGGATTTCATGAAGGGTGGTTAAAATTTGTTGTGGCGGAGAATATTCAGCGTGAATATCTTGTTTGTTTTAATCGCAATAGTGTTAACGAATTTGCTGTGAGTGTTTTTGAGGAGAATGCTATTGAGCGTATTTCAGAATATCATTTTACGCTGGAGGTCAAGAAAACACATGTAGAACGTGCACGTCTGGTAATTGAGTTATTATTGTGTATTACATGTTATTATTTTGTGGTGAATTTTTTTCTGTATTTATAACAGATTTTTTCTTTTTAAAAATTTGAATGTAGCTTATTCCCATTCAATTTTGGTGAGCACATGTGGACTTTTTTTTTATTGTTTTTAATTTTTTTTATCTCATGTTCAGTAATGTAATGTTTTATATTTTGCTTTGAAATTTAAGCTTGTCAATTTTTTATGGTAATTATTTTGTGGGTATAAGTATTATCTTCTTGATGTTTGCAAGTAAATAACATTGAGCTGTAATAGTAGGAAAGAGAATGATTTGATGCCATGTAAAGTTAGAACGTATAACATAAAAAAGTAAGCGGATGCAAAATGTAAGATTACATAATAATAGACCATATTCATTATAGACAAGACTATTATCAGTACCAAATACCACACAAGTTTCTCGTGCAATGTTCAATGGATCCTTAAGTACAAGCGTTAATGTGTCCAAAACGAATATTAATATCTACTAAGTAAAAACCATCATTCAAACTTAGCAAATATTAATAGTGAATCTGACATAGCAGTTGTGCAGGTATGTATGCACACAAAAGATTCAGTGTGAGCAAAATATAACACGCACGAGATCTTAAGCAAAAACAGTGGCTGCAAAAATGTGGCATAGAAGACAAAAGCAGTATTAGGTTCGAGGTGCGCTTCATGCGTCTTTTTTCTGTCTTTTATTAGACCTTTCGATTGGTGATTTCTGCATAGGATCGTCTGCTGAAACTCCAGCTGCGTCTTTTGGATCATTTGATTCAGTTTCGAAGTTAATATATCTTTTTGCACCTGTCCTTTTTCCTTTTTCAGGTGCAGCCGGCGATGGGGTGTCCAGCATTGAGGCGAGTAGTTTGTGTGCTGTTGGGGTTAATTGTTCTTCCACAAGTACCTGCCAAACATTGATATATATATATATATATATGTAGCGCTTAAGTTGTGATTATGTGCATAGATATATTTATAGAAAAATAAGTGTGGTAAAAAAAATTAAAAGAAAATTATTGTATGGTGGAGTGAACACCTGTTTTCCCAGTGCTTGTTGGTGCACAAGAGTAGCTGTCTCATCTACAGGTATTTCTGGTTCAATGTTTTCCTCGTTTATATAAACAACAACAACTGCATAGCCAGACTCATCTCCGTCTTGGTAATCGGGAATGTAGTGCCTTATGAAGCAAGTGATGTGTTTTTTTTCAAAGTTTGCTTCAACCTCCATGGCCGTTTGAAGCTGTATGTTAGAAAAAGCAACATAAATGGTACGTAAGAGTATTTAATTAATCTGACTACTAAGTTTAGGTCCCTTGTTTAATGAGTCATATAAGAGGGATATTATAGAGCACTCTTCGTAAGAATTAGAGTAATATAATAAAGAAGATGTTGTGTTTACATGGTTTTTGTTTAAGCTCATTTGTGCTGCTGTCATTGGAAGCAATTGCTCTGCCTCGGGTCCACTAATGACAGCTTGTATAAGGCCACTGTTGTCTTCAATCCCCAAAGTGAATCTGCACCTGCAATCAGTGTTACAATACTATTATTCACATATTTTTTATAGATAGTTTATGAATAGTATTTGCTTCATTAGATGAGTTGAATACCAAGGCTCGACTGGTCCCTCTGTGTTGCACTTAGTACATGTTATTATCCAACCAACTTGAGCACGTAATGCTTTTTTACAAGTTTGGCAGACAGTGGTCCAATAAGATGTTTGACCATGTGTAAGCACTGCTGTCCCTCGAATCCAGGCAGTTTTCAACTGAATTCATAGAATATTATTAAATATTTTTTTAACACTTAAAATGGTATTCTACATTGTTGTAAAAAATTTGTAAGAAAAGGCTGTGACTTACAATGTGCAAATTTTTCAATGCTGTTTGAACTGAGATAATCTCCGACTCATTTGGTGGCGGTAAGAGGAACTCCGGGTCTTTGTACACCTTTAATTCCAGTAGATGGCTGACTTCATCCTTGTGTTTAAGATACCTATAAGTTTAATTGGAAATGATCTTAGTTTGTAATAATGAAACAGACAAAGTGTCAGGAAGAAAATAGCCAATATTTGTTACCATTGTTTTAGAGTAGCAGCCTCTGCCATCGGAGGATTGATCATTATGTTGCTCTGGTAAGTTGTTGTGACTGACAACACTGGTCAAGAGAAATATTTACAATATTTCATCTTAAATAATAATGGTTACCATAAATAAGATAATATTTAGGAAATAAGGTAAAACTTACGATTAAAAGTTGTTACCCTGACCCGCATTGCAACAATAATATTACCCGTGGGCAGCGTACTTGCCAATTGGGCACCTTCTTCTTTTGCGAATTCATTCCATAATGTTAAAATCATCGGTTTGTTCCTAAAGATATTAGATTTAAAGTAATGAATAAAACTTTTTCCTTCACTTATAGAGCATGTAAATTTGAGAAACAATATTCATTACTCTGCATTAACGATGATCAGCTCTTTCGTGGTTGACTTTGCCGAAAGATTTTTTGGTGGCAATGCATGAACAACAACACCGATGACATCTGCATAAAGTAAAGTAAACATCATTCATGATGAAAAATTTGAACTAATTATCTTGAAAGGAACTGAAAAATCTTTTGTTTGGTGGCAGGTATCTGTTGTTTTTTATTTTTACTTTTTGCCTTTTTATTTTGCTGTTTTTTTTTCTTGTGGTTATATTTTTGGTTACTTATTTAAGGAAAAAAAAAAAAGAAAAATATTTCAGATTACTTTGTAGGTGATCTGTCTCTGCAAATGCTCTCAGTTTAGCATATTCTTGTAACTGTATCTTGCATGGTAGTTGTGGCGGCAATTTCTCTGGAAATGGTTCAACCAGTGTGCCTTTTTGTAGACTCCATGTGAAAGCATACTCGCTGATTTGAAATTGAGGATTTGCTGGTTGTACCCTTGCTCCTGATACATAGTACCTTTTGTATTGTATAATTCGGTCTTCCCAGAATTCGACCTGACTTCCATAAGCAGTTGCGCCAACAATGGTTCCCTACATAAGTGTAAGAAAATTTATTTTTTTCATTGTCATTAGATTTGAATGTAGTAGTTGGTAAGACCTGGAGAAGTGTAGACATATTGTTAAAAAGTTAATTAAATGTATTGTCGTTAACTTTAATAGGAACGTAACAAATGTACCTGTGAATCCGTGAAAACATATCTTCGATAAGGTACTTTTTTTCCTGTACGACCAAATTGAACATGGCCTTTTTCTACCACTTGAATAATCACTGTCCAACCATCCGTGTCGAGGTCAACTTGATTGATCTGAAGGTATTTGCGCGACATACTATAACATTCCGAAAAAAAAGAAAAGGTAAAAGAAGTGAAAGATTAGAAGACATAGTGGTCAAGACTAAAAATTGAAGAAAAGAAAAACAGAAAAAAGAAAGAGAAGTAAATATTCGAACATCTACTATATGGGAAAACTACAAAGTAATACAAACAGTAAACAGAGGCATTAATATTGAAAAGAACAAACGAAGTTATTGTTTTGCCGCTTCTAGAATTTCTTGATAAACAATATTCTTTGTATATTTTAGTTTTTTCTTATCAAAATACGGTGGTTTCATAAGAATTGTAACATTAGATGAAAATCTAGCTCGTGATAAAGCGACATATAATTGTCCATGTGAAAAAACTGGTTCTTTTAAATAAATACCAACTTCATCTAAAGTTTGTCCTTGTGCTTTATTAATTGTCATTGCAAAGGATAGTCGCACAGGAAATTGTACTCTAACATAAGGTACTGGATACTGTTGATCACTTGGCGGCTCTAAAGGTATTTTATGTATAAAAACTTCTTTGCCAGCGAAATCACCCACAATTATCTGTGCATGTATAATATTTCTAGTTAAATTTTTACACCTCAATCTTGTACCATTACACAGACCTTCTGTTGGATCCAAATTCCGAAGTAATACTATTGGACAATTTTTTTTCAATACTAATTTATGAGGTGGCATACCGCTAGGAGTTAATGAATTAATTATATCTTCATATTGTCCTCTGTGAGCAGAATTTCGAGTTTCATCAAAACTATAATATTCAACTGCTTCACCAGGGAATCTATGTATCAGTATATTATTGACTTCATCAACAAAATTATTTCTTGTACTTAATATAGCTCGGTTAACTGAGAGGGTTTCAGTATTCAATTGGCTTAAATCAGGGTAAACAATATTAATTAATTTGTCAATATCATCAGCATCATTCATACATAATGTATTAATAATTGCAGGTATTCGAATTAAATTATTTGAATCTGTAGGTTCAAGCCCATTGCCGACATTTAACAGATAGTTTGAAAAGACAGGATCTAATTTAGCGCGCATGTTTTCTGTTAGTTCTATTTTCTGTAAAAGCGGCCAGAGTGGTGAATTAACTAAACAAGCATCGACTGTTTCAGTCTTACTTCCTCTACGAACAACTGGTAATACTTGCCGAAAGTCACCTCCAAATACCACTACTTTTCCTCCAAAGATTTCATTCGAATCTAAAAGGTCTTTTAGTAATTTGTCAAGTGATTCTATTGCTGATCTCTTAGCCATGGGTGCTTCATCCCATATAATAATTTTGCATTCTTTAAGTAATATTGCAAGACTACTTTGTTTACTTATGTTGCAACTTTCTCCTTTGGATATATCTAATGGTATTTTGAATCTTGAATGCGCTGTTCTACCCCCGGGTAAAATGGAAGCAGCAATACCAGAGGTAGCTGTTGCTAAAGCTATATATCCTTTTGATCTAATATCTGCTAACAAAGCTCTATAAAGAAATGATTTACCTGTTCCACCAGGACCATCTATAAAAAATGCACCTCCTTCATTATTATAGACACGGTTAGTAATCTGACAAAATGCATATTTTTGCCGGTCATTCAATAAGTGCACTGCATTTAAATCTTCTACCGACACATTAATATTTTTCTCTGCTGCTAATTCTCTAGTTAAATGTGAAGAATCTAGTTCAGGTACATCACTTGTGAAAAGACCAAAGGAATTAATTGACTTCCCCATTGACTCTAAAAAGCAAGCAATCTGACCAAGTACTTTGGCTCTTATTTGTACAGGTGTAAGTGATGATTCTCGTCTAAAATCTTCAGACATATGTGATTCAAATTTTAGCCATAAATCTCTAGGATTATTCGGACAAGAGTAAACCAGAATATTAGCAAAAAGTCTTCGAAGTTCATATGGCATTTTAAATTGCACAGCTTCTTCTAAACATAGATATTGACTGTCATCATCTTTCAAAAGACCCCTAATTAATGCAGCTTCGCGAAATGTTTTAGCTATGACACCATTATATGACTTTAAATCATCGAATGATTTTGGACAACGGACTTTCAATAGAAGTAATCTAAGATAGTAACGTTCACCCTCAGAAGGATGTGCAGCCACTATTCTACCAACTGATTCTTGCCTTTCTCTTTTTTTCCATCTTTTTTCATTTGAAATCCATACAAAATATTTTGGGAATTCAGCATAAGTTAAGTTTAAATCTTGAGCATCTTTATCAGTTCTGTTCATATAAAAGAACTGCGTCAACATTGTCCTATTGTTTAAAGGATTTCGAACGATATTTCTCAATTTATCCTTTTTTTTAAAATGTATTCGTTGATAGTTCGGTAAATGACATTGCAGATGAATAACTGCAGGTTTTAGTTCTCCCATTGAAAATCTATAAATTCTCCAAGCAGCTTCTGGAGGAGAAACCCATCTAGCAGATGTATATTGTTTAATTTCATCAATACTTTCATCTGGTTTGTCTGAGGAAAGGTGGAAATTTATTCTATCATGACCTTTACATATATATTTGTAAATATATTTGACAGCCTGTATGGTGGAGCAAATTTCCACATTTATGTGGCAATTATATTTGGCAAGCAGATATGGATTATAAGGTACTACCCACCTATTATCCAATTCCTGACCTCTAACTTTCACTCTTATATTGTTGTCTCTTCTTCGATATTGAGGAAAAGCACCTGAGATTTGTTTTGTTTCTTCACAGAATGATTTAGGATATGCAAACCTGCACTTACCTTTTTTTGTCATGCATGAATTATTTAAATTTAAAGGACCGCAAGGTCCATGCATCATGTGTTTTTTTACCATGGCATATAAATGAGGATGAGAAAGTCTATCTGGTATTTCAGCACAAACAATTTTATCAAATTCTTCGGTTCTAAATAACTTAAATTGTGGATGCAGAATGATCAGAAAATGTGCATGAGGTAAACCTCTTTTTTGGAATTCAATTACATATGTGTATGCAGCAACTTCACCGAAAATGTTTTTTTTAAATAAATCATCTTTTAATTTTGTTAACCTAGCATTGAAAGCCCTGGCAACCAAATCTGGCCTGTTCTGAATTTCTTCAGAATGTAATAAAAGATTTTTGATCTCAGGCCAGTTAGGATTGCATGTTATGGTGAGGAAAATGTCAGGTTTACCAAATTTTTGAACCAAAGTCATTGCATCTATATAACGCCTTTTCATATTTCTTGGACCTCCAATAAAAGTTGCTGGTAAGAAAACTCGCTGACCTATCTTAGAACCTTCAGTTTCTCCAGAAGTTAATGCATCTTGAATTCCTTGTAAGTATTCATTTCTAATCTCTTGTTGTTGCTGTCTCAAGAAATCTAAACGTTGCGACTCTAACTTAACATACATATCCACTATGTACTGCTGGAAAAGCCTACCAGACCTGAGGAGAAATGACTTGTCATTTTCCCTGATTTGCAACTTGTATGAATAATATGCCCTAACAGACACGAAGCTGAAATCGTCGGGTGGAATAGACTGAGCTGAGGAAAGATTTTTGAAAAGGAAAAAGTAAATGAGGTCAATGAAGTGGAGAAAGCAAAGGGAAAAATTTAAAAAGATTGAGGATAAATAGAAAAGGAAAATCTGTGAGCAACACACAAAAGGAAAAAAAAAAAAAAAAAAAAAAAAAAAAAAAAACTGAGAAGAAAAAAACAGAATGCATATGACTTACCAGCAAATTCTGCACTTAAAACTTCATTTAAGTCCATTGCCAAATGAGGCACAACATTGATCACTGAACTTTGTCTATTATTATGTTGCAAAGAACTTTTTTTCTTTACACCCTGATGCCATCCAACTTCTCCCAATGGAAAAAGTAAAGGATATTGCAAAGGGTCATAGCAACCATAATAATAACTTATATTATAAGAATGACCTCCATGTGAATGTACTACTATGTTTCTTTCATTTGTTTGACCATTATCTTCATCCTCAACCCATAGTGCAGCTACTTGTGAGACTTCTGGTTGATTAAAAACTCTTTGATCAACATCAGGTAACGTTTTTAGTACAATTTGACATTCCTCTAAATTAGGTACATCTTTAAGCCTTCTGAAGAATTTAACATATGGATTATGTTGGAGAACTGTAAGTATTTTTTCCACCAATGATTCAGTTAATCTAGGACATGCTTCGAGCCTTTTTGAAATTTCAGTATCGGTATCATGAAAATACAGTTGAAGATTTTTAGACTCAAAAAAATCATCTATGAAATGATAGATCTGACCCTGCACTCTAAATGTATAAATTCCATTATTACGTTTACTTAGAGCTTTATCATAATGCACTCCCATGGAAGTGAAAGCAAAATGATTGTTGATTGTTCGTATGCAGGTTCTGAATAAGTTTGCTTCTTGTGACTGAGAAGTGAAAAGTTCTTGGAATATAGGAGGAGCGTCGTTTGCAGGCAAACATACATCTCCATCCAAGCAACATAAACTATACGTTTCATATTCAAATTTCTTTGCAAAACAATATGGACAATCTTTCACGTTTTTTAAAACTAAAGGTGTGACAGGAACAGAATCAAGTAGGACTCTACCATCATTTAAATGGTTATTCTTTCTTCTTTTATGATTGACTCTTTCCTCTTGCATATCATTCAATGTTTGAGTATTTCTCTTTCTAGGAATCACTGCATTACTGGACTCTGCATAAGAATCATATAGTCCAGTCCTTTCAAATGCATGAATGGGTTGAACTGTATAATGTTGTCTAACTATATTGGCATTTCTAAGACCATTTGCATCAGTTTGAGTACACTTAGATCTATTTTTCTTTACCCTCCATCTTTCAATTGCTCTTTTTCTACCTGCTTCTATGGGTGCAGGTAAATTTGAAATATGAACATTAGATGATTGTACAGGGATTTGACAGTCCATAACATTTTCATGATTTACAGGACAATCCTTTTTCATTTTTTTCAATCTCCACCTTTTAATAGCTTCTTGCCTATAT